TTATATCTTTCATTCCCAATTTGTATCCTTTGCAATTTATATGCATTTGTTTTCAGTGTTCTGACCTTTGCTAATTGGTTGTTTGGCAGAGTTCTTTCTAAACAACTTTATGCAGATAGCAGAGAAATGAATGATTATGCATGAAGAGTGTTTTGGAAGGTAACTATAAATCAATTCAAATACTAAAGGAAACGAATCCTCTGAGAGGTGCTGTTCCTCATATCTGACAGGTAATTATAGTGTTTCCCTGACTGAAAATGTTTTATACCCGATAAATGAGTATAATTCACTATTTCTGCTGAGCTGTTTTTCATGTTTGTTCTGTTTATGGGGTATTTGGATAAGGGAATGATGAAATATTTCCAAATGAAATAAACATAAGGGAACAATTATCATAGATTGGCATCATTTGACAGTACCTTTTAGTAGCTAAGAAGCATGGGCATGCGCATGGACACTACACGGACATGCTAATATGGAAATTTTCAAAAAATGTAGACACGGCATGTGAGGGACACATACAAACTATATATATTAGATATATTTTTTGTATGTCATATATAAGGATAATAAATAATGAATGAATAAAGGAAAAGAAGGTAGGATAAAAGGTTTCATTCAAATGTCATTATGTACTCTATCATACTCAAAAACGTTTTGCACTACAATATATAGCAACATATATTATTTAGTACTTGCTTGCATGAAGAAATTCAACAAGACCACAAAACCATAAAAAAATATCAGAAAATTACCCGAACAATTACATTTATGGATATCACAATCATTCTAGGTGTGACCCACATTCACCCACTGTAAATCTACGCCATACAACTTGTTTCGGGGAAACTTTTCATGGTTCCTAGCATTTCTAGTAGAAATTAGTTATGTTTCATGTAATAACATGAATCATGTTAAATGCAAAAAGTTGGTAAAAACTTTTTGCTAAGCTTGGTGGTGAAAAGACTCTTTTGCAGTATGAGAGAATTATTTCTCTGTAATACCTTATTTTAAGGAAGAAACACCAATTTAAGAATTTGTAGTGGCTACAAGCCTAGATTTATGTCATCTTCTTATAATATTATTACCAATCACCATGATGAAAATTCTAGTTGAAATTTGCTCAACATGCTTGTTGGATGGAAGATATCACTATTGTTGTATATTATACTTCGTTTGTGCTTTTATATTTTTTCGTTTGCTTCCTCATTATGCACCATGCTGTCAGTGATGGGCAACGATGATGATAGCATAGGGGACAATGATTCAGAAGTCGGCGCTTTAGAGTACCAATTGAATGTAGAAGATGGAAGGACAGTAGTTGCCTCTAGGCAGAGCAGAGGTAGAAGGAACTAGGTTGAACCCTCAAGATTTATGATCCCTGTTTATTTTTACCTTTTAATTTCCTCTTTTTTATCCTATACTTTTTGCCCCTTTATTTGTGTCAATATGTCATTTTTATAGAGTTATTAGTGTGGCAAATTTTGTTCCTTGCTTTTGATGCCATGCCAAGGAAGTTGTGCTTGTGGTGTAACTGGAGAGTGGAGACTGGTTTCCTCTCATAAATAGGTTCTAAAGCATCATACATGAAAAAGTTTGCTTTCTATATATATGCTTTCTACTCGATGTCCATTCATCGTATTTGGCTTGAATATGTATATAGTTGAGAGTGTTGGAGCAGTTAATGTCTAGAGTCCTTGGAGTTCCTCAGTTGACCCCTTAAGGCTGTGTTTAGATCTTAAATTTGTGGAGAACAAAGAAACAGAGGGGAAATTGAATGAAATAGAAACAAAATTGTTTACAGAAATATTGGGAAAATATTGGGGTGTAGGTGTAACTATCAATATTAAAAATTAATATATATATATATATATTTATGGAATTTAACTATTGTTTAGAGAGGGGCCTACATGATTTTCACACAAATTCCATGAGTCCAAAAGCTTAAGAGTAGCACTCCAAGCTTCGCTTCCCTATATTTTCTACACTCCGAAAGGAAGTGACCCTCAATTTTGGGTTCACTTCTTTTGACCTCTGATGCAATTCTTGAATGCCTCCCTTGTCTGATGCTCATCCCCCAAGTGTTCTTAAATTTTTACTTGAAAACTTCTACTTGTTATAACCCTTATTATTATTAGTTTAATTAAATATAACAATTATTGAGTATATAATATACACATAGAAACTCATATCAATACCCATTCCCACCATCAACCCTACTCATCTCTAACCAAGAACTCAACAACAGAATTCCAAAACCCTATTTTCCCTCTCCCTACCCACATACACACTTCTTTCTCTCACCAAAATGGTCACCTTCTTTCTACTAGTATTGTTGTTTATCCTCCTCCTCCTCCTCCTCAATCCTTTTCCGGCCATGTGCCAAATTGGCCGTGAAGGCGAATGGTGTCTCTTGCATGCAAGCATTGGCATATCCGCTATGCACATGCAATTACTACATAACAACAAGGTTGTCATGTTTGATAGGACTGATTTTGGCCCCTCTAATCTCTCTCTCGCCTATGGCCGCTGCCGGTATGACCCTTCCGATAATGTCCTAAAAAATGACTGCACTGCTCACTCTCTACTCTATGACATAGGCACTAACACTTTTCGGCCACTAATGGTAGAGACTGATACGTGGTGCTCCTCTGGCGCCGTCCTCCCCGATGGAACGCTAGTCCAAACCGGAGGCTACAATGACGGTGATCATGTAGTGCGCACGTTAGCCCCATGCAATGATGATTCCTGTGATTGGGTTGAGTTTCCTGGTTATCTATCGGAGCATAGATGGTATGCAACAAATCAAAGACTACCAGATGGTCGGATTATCATCATTGGTGGAAGGAGATAGTTTAACTACGAGTTCTACCCTAGAAAATCTGAATCTTCACCTTCTTTCTGGCTTGAATTTCTCAGACAGACTAGAGATGATGATGAAAACAACTTGTACCCATTTGTATACCTATTGCCAGATGGAAAATCTTCACCTTCTTTCTGGCTTGAATTTCTCAGACAGACTAGAGATGATGATGAAAACAACTTGTACCCATTTTTACACCTATTGCCAGATGGAAACTTGTTTATTTTTGCCAACACGAGAGCTATATCTCTAGATTACAAGCAAAACCGTGTTGTTAGAGAGTTCCCTTCGATAACCGCCAATGATCCTCGAAATTACCCTAGCTCAGGTTCATCCGTGTTGCTCCCCATAGATGAAAATGAGCCCATTGAGGCTGAGGTCATGGTATGCGGTGGTGCACCCCGTGGTGCGTTCTCCAGGGCTAAACAAGGGATCTTTGATGCTGCGAGTCGCTCATGCGGACGCATAAAGGTCACCGATGAAAATCCTAGTTGGGCCATGGAGGACATGCCGATGCCTCGTGTGATGGGTGACATGATACTTCTTCCCACTGGCGACGTGGTCATCATCAATGGTGCCGGATCAGGTACTGCAGGTTGGGAAATTGGGCAAAACCCGGTTACCGGACCTGTGATTTACAAGCCACACGGGGTTGAGGACATCCGATTTTCAGTCATGTCCCCTGCGACAAGGCCAAGAATGTACCATTCAAGTGCGGTTTTGCTTACTGATGGTCGTGTTTTAGTGGGAGGAAGCAACCCACATCCATACTACAACTTCACTGGGGTACAATACCCAACCGACCTGAGCTTGGAAGCCTATTCACCGCCCTACTTGAGACCCGAGTACGACCCAATACGCCCCAGAATTATGAATATCAATGAGAGTTTCAGGTATAAGCAGTCATTTTGGGTTACTTTCACGGTGCCGAGGTTTCTGAAACTGAGTGTTTTATCGGTCAGAATTGTTGCACCGTCGTTTACGACGCATTCGTTTGGTATGAACCAAAGAATGGTGGTGCTGAAGACGAGTGAGCTTTACCGTGTCAGGTCAGAGGAGTATAGGGTAACTGCAATAGGGCCTTCAACGGCTGAGATTGCACCACCAGGTTACTATTTGTTGTTTGTTGTGCATGCTGGAATACCAAGTTCTGGTATGTGGGTGAAAATTCAGTGATGGGTTGTTTGTGTGTTGCTAATATGTAATATTTTTGCTATAATAATATAGATTTCAGTAGTAGTATATTACAAGGAAATGTGAATGCGAGAGGTTATGATTGATTTACTGGAACGATAAGCATTGGTTTGATTTGCATTCTAAGAATTGAAATAATATTGTAGAGAACTGAGTAATGATATAAAAGCATATTTTGTTGACTTTTTTATAGAATGATGATATGGTTCATTTTTATTCATTAATTTAGAGTAAACAGATTCATGACAGGGATTTATTATTTTAAAAATGCTAATACCATGTCAGTCTTGTATGGAACTTGTGTAGAATATAGTCTACAAACCCATAATTTTACTAAAATCTTACAAAAGGACATGTTGCTGATAACACAGTTAGTGTTTCTGATGAAAATTTTTCACTAAATTGGTTAACTCACTATCAATGAGTTGATCAAGTCTATAATTTTGCCTTAAAAATATGACATAATGTCACTTATGTGGATATTTTTTTTTTTTAAATGTTAAACAATTGTAAGTAATTGGATTAAATTGAGACAAAATCATAAGTTCATGATTGAAATCTAGGCAATTGAAATTATAAAAATCAAAATGACAAAGACTTAAATACAAGGACTATCAGTGTAATTTGACCATATATATTTTTATTTTTTGATCAAATGGTAGACGATTATTGTAGTATTACATATGTGAAGACTAAATTTAGTGGCCTGAAGTCTTGTTTCTCTCTATGCTAGGGGTGGACAAGACTCGAAACTAAGACTTTGGTAACACATAATATGTATGCATTTTATTATTTATTTATTTATTGTTTTAGCTTGCTTAAATTGCACACACACTAGCCGCAACTGTTAGTAAAATTTTTGTTAGGCTTAGATCGATAAAGCCTGAACTAAAATTTCACCAAACAACATAATAATCAAACAATTGTCACACTAGCCGCAACTGTTAGTAAAATTTTTGTTAGGCTTAGATCGATAAAGCCTCAACTAAAATTTCACCAAACAACATAATGATCAAACAAATGTGTTGAGGTTCTATGCCTTGAAAGTTCAAGAACTTTCTTGGAATAAAAATAATGACAATACAAACAAGAAAAAGAGAGAGAGAAGAAGAAGATGATGATATAAATGATTGAATGAACAATCAGATGCAAGTAAAGTATATTAAGACTACTCCTATCTAAGTTTAAACTACTCATATGTAGATTAGATCTACTCCTAGGATGGAAAAGAAATAGAAATCAAGTCATGTATTAATTTGTTGGTGTCTTACAATAGAACCATTAATGGCAATTTATAGAAAAAATGAAGGAAAAAACTTCCATTAACCACCACCTAAATAACTACTTTTAACTTCCTAAATCTTCAATATTCTTTCTTACAATGCCATGTGTCTTTCATCCCTTGAATCTTCAAAACTTGTCTTAACTTCTCTTTAACCTCCAACATAATAATAATAATAAGAAGAAGAAGAAGAAGAAGAAGAAGAAGAAGAAAAAGAAGTAATAGAAAATTTAAACCTAGTCATAGTCGACAGAAAATTTATTTGTGGTGCAAACTATTACATATTGTGATATTAGTACATTTGCTATCTTTTTTGTTTGTTTGTTTGTTTCTTCTTATCTACTTGAATTGCACACACACTCATCACTTGTGCCAGATGCTAGTATACATATATGTAGAGAATAACATTAGACAATTATAAGTCTTGACTTTTTTTCCATACCACTATAAATATCTTTTATATCCCTCCATATTTATTTTGTAAGCCTCACTTTGGGCTTACAACAATGATTCGAACGGTTCATATCGTAAATCTTATAGTGAAAATCACATATGCAAAAAATCAGTTTCGTCAGATATCGATGAATATATGAACAAATCATATTTTTATTTTATAAAATTGACGGTTTAAGTTAAACTCACAGTTACTATCCATTTAAAAGAAACAAAATGTAATTTGTTCATGTGTCTACTGATGTTTAATGAAACTTATTTTTTCCTACAACTCGTCTTTAGTGTTGGGCTTACAAGATGAACGGTTCATATCATCATTATGGGCTTGGGATGTGAATCATGAAATAGACTTTGGCGGACTATGGAGGATAGTGGTATGGAGGAGGGTCATAGGTAATGTTACGGTTCGTGAAATAAATATCATGAAAAGTTTCATTAAACTAATCCAAAAGTGATTGCATAATATACAATAAAACACTACAAACTAAACCAAAATGAAGAATCTTCATAATTTTTTTTTACGATATTTCTTTTATGAAACTTAACATTATTGGAGGGTCATTCCCTAATGGAAGGAAATCAACTCAATATAACAAAATTTCCATAATAGGAAAAAAAAAAGTTCTTACCTTTACAGGACTCTACTCATTAACCTCCCAATTAAAATGTACAGGAGTGATCAATTAGTAAATACCACATAGTCCTTAGATGTCAGTTTTTGTTAAAATATGGACAATAGTTAGTAATTGGATAAAATTAAGAAAAATAAATAACCTAAATAGTTTTTTTTTTTAAAATTTAATTTTTAATTTTTTTAATGGGTTAAACAAGAACCAAACTAGCTACAAAGTTTCATACATAACAAGATGAGATAACTCAGAGGGACCTTTTTCCATCCAAACCTTCAACCCAAGTGCATGTTGGGCCATCCGAGCCAATTCATGAGCAATTTTATTTCATTCTCTTAAGATGTATGAGCAATAGAATCTTCGAAATCCTCTACTCAATCCAATTGCACCTTGAATAATATGTCCAAAAGGAGATAACAATTGTCCATTTTCTTGGAAAGCCTTCACAATATTCAGTGAGTCACCTTCCAACTCTGTCATTCCCAATCCTAACTCTCGGGCAAACTCCACCGCCCTTGCGGCTGCACAAGCTCCACACAATCTGCCTCCACGCATTGTTGGAGCCTCTCTAATAATGCACGAATCACTTGCCAATTTTGATCTCAAACAATCACCCCAACCCCAATAGCTTTTTCTCGCCCAAAAACAACACCATCAAAGTTGAGCTTGAAGACACCCACACCCGGAGGTTTCCATTGTCAGTGATTCATAAGGGGGCACCATTAATCCTTTACGGTATCAATTACAAAACTTACCCAAATCTAATTTTTATTTGGCGATAGAATGACCAAAGATTTACGTGATGTCAAAATTATGTGCCTTAGATATGTTTTAATTAACTGATGTTTTTTTTATTTGCTATTTTAATTACTAAATATGATGATAATCACAATTTAAAATGTAATAAAATGCATACAAAAAAAGAAAGGAAAAAAAAAGAATAAGTTAGATGTGGAGGAAAACAAGAGACAAATGAGAGAGATAGAAATAATTATAAGAAAATATTTTGATAAAATTAAACATTAATTATTAGGAATTTATTAAAAAGTAAGAGAGAGGAAAGATGAGATACAAACATTTTAAAACATATTTAAAAATTTAAAGGGAGTTAAATAAAAAAAAAATTCTAATTAGAGATAAAAATGTAATTTTTAAAAAAATGAGGGGCACGTGCCCCCTGAACCCTATGTAGCTTCGTCCATGGCCATTGTAGTGGAATGTGACCTAGACGAGGGCCTTGCACCGCGCCTTTGCTTGCCCAAACTCTTGTAGTAAATCACAAGCTTGCCTCATAATCTTTTCAGTAATCCCAACATTTTTATTAAAGATGGCTTGACTTTGGGCTAACCATAGACCCCCCAACATAGACCAAAAAACAAACCTAACCCTGCGCTATCCATTCATGAATGTATTGCCTCAACCCTTTCTTAGAAATCAAGGCAACCCACTGAATCAATTACCCACCTTAGCAGACTCAATGCCAAAACTTGTTATGCCAAAACAAAATCTCGCAAGCGATGTACCAGTGTTTTGGGAGCTTCGTCACAAGTCTCATACACTTCCATAATTGGCACTCTCCTCTGTACTAATAACAACTGAGTCAGTAAAACATTCATTATTTTCAAATAATTAACTATTTCAATTTAGTTTATAACTTAGAGGGTGTTTGATAATGGGCACTAGGGCCATAAATCTAAATTAAGATTTTTTTTTGCTCAAAGGTCTACCCTCTGAAACATTACATCTATAAAGACAAGCTCCATGAAAATGACCAAACTACCTATATATATATATATATTGTATCCAAACCAAACCAAACCCTAACCACTCCTCTCTCTCCCTATCGTCGTCGTCGTCGTCGTCTCTCTCTCTCTCATTCACTGCTCTGCTCTCTCCCTCTCTTTTCATTTCTCCAAATCAAGGTAGTAGTGCCGTAGGCAGCAGCATGTGGTAGATGTCACTGTCGGTGACGGAGGATCCAAAAGTCGGCAATGGAGGTGGATCTAGTTTTTGAAGATGGATTCACCGCAAAGGCTAACAAATCTGCCTCTAAGATTCTACCACGTGTTTAGTTATGGCATCGCGCCTCCAATCTCTATCTGAACCGCCGCTATCCGCTAGAAACCTACCACTATTGTCGTCGTTCCTCCTCCGTCTCTCGATCCTTGTCTTGCCAAACAAAAGTTTCTCATATATATTCCACAACTACACTAAACTTGCTAGATTTGACTCAAACTCTCTCATTAAACACCAAGTCCACACACAAATTCTCTGATCATTTGTTCATTTTCTCTCTCTAAAATATATATATTCATATATCTATGTGTATCGATTTGTATGGATCATGATCTTTGAGGGTTTGATCGATCCTTTTTGTGCTTTGTTTTATGTAGATCGATTAATCATCGAAGATGCTTGGGAGAGCACCGAAGAACACAAAGCACTATGAAATTCTTGGTTTTTCAATTTTTTTGGTGTTGTTTGGTTGCAGCAAAAACCTCGAAAGGGAGAAGAAAATGAGATTATGGATCTTTAATTTGTACAGATAAAATTCTAGTTGTTAATCTATTTATTATTTTCCTTTTTTCAATTTAGGTCAGGCTTTGGACAAAGATTATTTTTGTGTAGTTGTTTTTTATGATGGTAATGAAGAAACAGATTGCAACAAATAATTAAATTTTTTTTGTTCTTGTGTTGATGTTGATGAAAATGAGACAGATTGTAACAGATAGATAGATAGATAGATAGATAGAGAGAGAGAGAGATGACCAAATAGAGAGGAGAGATTTGAATAAGTAGAAGAGAAAAAATTGAACAAATAGGGTTTGGTGATTTGGTTTGCCTTCGTATTTCAAAAGATTAAAAAATAAAATAAAAAAATTAAATAGATAGAAGAATTTCAAGAAAGAATTGAACATATAAGAACATTTGAAAAGATAGAAAATTTACACATAAAAAATTTGGACAGATAGAAAATTTACGCAAATAAAATTGGATTGATAGGAAAAAATTAAAATAGATAGATATAAATTTGAACAGATAGGAAATTTTTTGAATAGATAGGAATTTTTTTTTGAGCAAATAAGAAAAAAAATTTGATCAAATAGTCAATGAAAGTCAATAGATAAAAAAATTCAAAAAATAAATTAAGGGGTAAAATTAAAAACAGAACGTTCAAAATAAATAAAATGACTTTTCACCAAACTATTTCACAAAGGGTGGACCTCTCACCAATAGAAATATCCATCGAACCTAATGCATTATACCCTCTTTAGTTTGGACTTTTTAACAATTATCTCGTTTGATAACCTCATTCAGCACTTAAAATTAAATGTATTAAGTGATAATCAATCAAACTCATTTGATAATTATAATTGATATCACTTAAAAATTAAAGTCTTTTAAAATAAATGCTAAAACATATGAAAATTTTGAGTTATATGAAACTTACTTAATTCTAACTGAATTTATAACTATTATATATAAATATCAATATATACTATTATAAACCCACCACCACTTCTATCGCCACAAACACTACCATCATGCTACCGCCACCACTATTGTTGCCACTACCACTACCACCACCACCACCACCACCATTACCATTGCTACCACTACCACCACCACCACCACTACCACCACTACCATCGCTACCGTCATTGCTACCACCACCACCACCATGCCATAGTCACTACTACCACCACCACCACCGCTACCGCTACTGCTACCATGTCACCGCTACTCTTACAACCACCACCTTCATCACCATTGTCATTGTTGTCATAAGTATCACCATTATTTTACTATCACTATCATCGCTACCGCCATCACCACTATGCTGCCACCACCGCTACCACTACCATCACAAAATAAAAATTGAGATATACAATTTGAAAATAATAAATTTTAAATTTGAACTTATATTTAACTCAGCATTTAAATTTTTATCAAATAGTTTTTCAACTTGAAAAATTTAACATTCAGGCCAAGTTTGGGTAGTTTAAAAAAAGCCAAAAAGTCAAAAAGTTACTCAAAAAGTTAAAAAGTCATTACTATTCACCAAAAGTCAACAATTACGGCTGCACAATTCCCAATTCTAATTTTCCCCTACAAACTAATTTTTATAATTTTTTATTACATATTTTTCCATAAAAAGTCAAAAAGTTAACCCAAACATTCATATTTTCAACCTCAACTTTTTAGTCTAAAAAGACAAAAAGTGCACTTATTTAGTCTTCCCAAACTTGGCCTCAATTTTAATAATTAATTTTCAATTTTCAATTTTATCAAATACCATCTTATTTAGCCACCCATGTTGGGTTGATGTATTATTGATTTCTTTCGATTACGAGGCCATTTGTTGGGTTCATTGTTGGGGTATTCGATATTAGGTATGTGTTGTATTGTATTTGGACTCTAAATAATTATCTTATATTTGTAAACTCTTAGTAATTGACCAAAAAAAAAATAAAAAATCACCTTTTGATTGAGTTAATTGGTGAAAATCGATTCTTATAGGTCCTATATTATTTGATCTAAGGTTTATTTATTTTTATTTTTTTGGTAATGAGGACACATGTTGAAAAGTCGTTAAAAAAGTTATCGAAAATTTGTTCAAAAAAATCGCTGGTGGCTAATAGCTAGTGGGTAATAGATAGATAGGTGAATAGATTTATATATAGATAGGTGATATTTGATTAGATATGTAACACGTACACAAATAAGTGACATTTATTTTGATTAGATAGGAAACACGTACACAAATAAGTGACATTTGGACAGATAAGTGACATTTAGGTAGATAATCAGATAGATAAATTTTGAATAGGTACAAGTCTTTTTTTTTTTTAATTAATAAGTGTCATTTGGACAAATAATATCCTTTTAACCCAAAAAGATTTCAGTCACCTGAGTGCCTTTTTTTATTTGAATTACAGAATTAAATAAATTCAGTTAAATTTTATTTTTAGAACTATTAATAATTTAAGGACTTGTTTGATTAGGCGGATCATAATATAAGATTGAGACTATTAATCCATGACATTCACATTTTATTATTTGGTTACAAATTTTATTATTCATATTAGATTTTAATGGCCATTTTAGCTAACAAAATTGACCCATTTTATCTATAAAAATGACTCATTTTTGTAATCCTACAACTAATAACATATAATTTAGATTATATATTTCCATATCTATCACAAACCAAACGTATACAAGAGAGAATTATATATCTCACTAATCCAATTACATAATTAATTTTATATTAATCTTTTTATTATTAATTCTGCTAATCATATAGACTCAGAGACATTATTTGAAGGTGTATTTAAATTTTGTCAAAATTAGGGATTCAATGCAATCACCTATCTCGACCACTCCAACTACTGATGTGTAGTTTGCGCATTAAAATTTCATTTAAAAAAAAAAAAAAACCTTATCATATTTTCTTTAAAGGCACTGGCTTGCCTCCGTCCACCATCTGGACTGGAGGACCCAGTCCGATCCATTGGATTAATTTTGAGTCATTCTTCGATAATTCGAACCGTTTACATTTTAGAATTTTTTAGGTACATTATTTCTGTAAAAATCACGTCGATCGGATAATGGATACTGTGTGTGCTGTTTTCTGACCACACTGTCAAGCAGTATTTAGCTGAAGAACACTGACAGAATAGATTGCGCCCGAATGACCTGTCATAGAAAGAAAAGACTCCGGCGGTGGTTCTTCCACCCGGGGGCACTCCGACGATCAAGTCAGTTATCTCTCAAAGATAGCAAAAGTGCTTAACTCACTATTCAGAATACAAAAAAGTGTACCTTAGACCCACGGGGATGCCTTACTTTTATAATCAACACTGACCTGATCCCAGTAGAAGCCTAGCTTCACTGGACTCTGGCTCAATGCCTATTCAGGACTCTACCATCATGCTATTGCCACCGCTATTGTTGCCACTACCACTACCACCACCACCACCATTACCGTTGCTACCACTGCCACCACCACCACCATTACCACCACTACCATCGCTACCGTCATTGCTACCACCACCACCACCATGCCATAGTCACTACTACCACCACCATTACCACCACCACCACCACCGCTACCGCTATTGCTACCATGTCACCGCTACTGTTACAACCACCGCCTTCATCACCATTGTTATTGTTGTCATAAGTATCACCATTATTTTACTATCACTATCATCGCTACCGCCATCACCACTATGCTGCCACCACTGCTACCACCACCATCACAATATAAAAATTGAGATATACAATTTGAAAATAATAAATTTTAAATTTGAACTTATATTTAACTCAGCATTTAAATTTTTATCAAATAGTTTTTCAACTTGAAAAATTTAACATTCAATTTTAATAATTAATTTTCAATTTCAATTTTATCAAATACCATCTTATTTAGCCACCCATGTTGGGTTGATGTATTATTGATTTCTTTCGATTACGAGGCCATTTGTTGGGTTCGTTGTTGGGGTATTCGATATTAGGTATGTGTTGTATTGTATTTGGACTCTAAATAATTATCTTATATTTGTAAACTCTTAGTAATTGACCAAAAAAAAAATAAAAAATCACCTTTTGATTGAGTTAATTGGTGAAAATCGATTCTTATAGGTCCTATATTATTTGATCTAAGGTTTATTTATTTTTATTTTTTTGGTAATGAGGACACATGTTGAAAAGTCGTTAAAAAAGTTATCGAAAATTTGTTCAAAAAAATCGCTGGTGGCTAATAGCTAGTGGGTAATAGATAGATAGGTGAATAGATTTATATATAGATAGGTGATATTTGATTAGATATGTAACACGTACACAAATAAGTGACATTTGGACAGATAAGTGACATTTATTTTGATTAGATAGGAAACACGTACACAAATAAGTGACATTTGGACAGATAAGTGACATTTATTTTGATTAGATAGGAAACACGTACACAAATAAGTGACATTTGGACAGATAAGTGACATTTATTTTGATTAGATAGGAAACACGTACACAAATAAGTGACATTTGGACAGATAAGTGACATTTATTTTGATTAGATAGGAAACACGTACACAAATAAGTGACATTTGGACAGATAAGTGACATTTATTTTGATTAGATAGGAAACACGTACACAAATAAGTGACATTTGGACAGATAAGTGACATTTATTTTGATTAGATAGGAAACACGTACACAAATAAGTGACATTTGGACAGATAAGTGACATTTATTTTGATTAGATAGGAAACACGTACACAAATAAGTGACATTTGGACAGATAAGTGACATTTATTTTGATTAGATAGGAAACACGTACACAAATAAGTGACATTTGGACAGATAAGTGACATTTATTTTGATTAGATAGGAAACACGTACACAAATAAGTGACATTTGGACAGATAAGTGACATTTATTTTGATTAGATAGGAAACACGTACACAAATAAGTGACATTTGGACAGATAAGTGACATTTATTTTGATTAGATAGGAAACACGTACACAAATAAGTGACATTTGGACAGATAAGTGACATTTATTTTGATTAGATAGGAAACACGTACACAAATAAGTGACATTTGGACAGATAAGTGACATTTATTTTGATTAGATAGGAAACACGTACACAAATAAGTGACATTTGGACAGATAAGTGACATTTATTTTGATTAGATAGGAAACACGTACACAAATAAGTGACATTTGGACAGATAAGTGACATTTATTTTGATTAGATAGGAAACACGTACACAAATAAGTGACATTTGGACAGATAAGTGACATTTAGGTAGATAATCAGATAGATAAATTTTGAATAGGTACAAGTCTTTTTTTTTTTAATTAATAAGTGTCATTTGGACAAATAATATCCTTTTAACCCAAAAAGATTTCAGTCACCTGAGTGCCTTTTTTTATTTGAATTACAGAATTAAATAAATTCAGTTAAATTTTATTTTTAGAACTATTAATAATTTAAGGACTTGTTTGATAAGGCGGATCATAATATAAGATTGAGACTATTAATCCATGACATTCACATTTTATTATTTGGTTACAAATTTTATTATTCATATTAGATTTTAATGGCCATTTTAGCTAACAAAATTGACCCATTTTATCTATAAAAATGACTCATTTTTGTAATCCTACAACTAATAACATATAATTTAGATTATATATTTCCATATCTATCACAAACCAAACGTATACAAGAGAGAATTATATATCTCACTAATCCAATTACATAATTAATTTTATATTAATCTTTTTATTATTAATTCTGCTAATCATATAGACTCAGAGACATTATCATAGGTAATGTTACGGTTCGTGAAATAAATATCATGAAAAGTTTCATTAAACTAATCCAAAAGTGATTGCATAATATACAATAAAACACTACAAACTAAACCAAAATGAAGAATCTTCATAATTTTTTTTTACGATATTTCTTTTATGAAACTTAACATTATTGGAGGGTCATTCCCTAATGGAAGGAAATCAACTCAATATAACAAAATTTCCATAATAGAAAAAAAAAAAAAAAAGTTCTTACCTTTACAGGACTCTACTCATTAACCTCCCAATTAAAATGTACAGGAGTGATCAATTAGTAAATACCACATAGTCCTTAGATGTCAGTTTTTGTTAAAATATGGACAATAGTTAGTAATTGGATAAAATTAAGAAAAATAAATAACCTAAATAGTTTTTTTTTTAAATTTTAAATTTTTAATTTTTTTAATGGGTTAAACAAGAACCAAACTAGCTACAAAGTTTCATCCATAACAAGATGAGATAACTCAGAGGGACCTTCTTCCATCCAAACCTTCAACCCAAGTGCATGTTGGGCCATCCGAGCCAATTCATGAGCAATTTTATTTCATTCTCTTAAGATGTATGAGCAATAGAATCTCCGAAATCCTCTACTCAATCCAATTGCACCTTGAATAATATGTCCAAAAGGAGATAACAATTGTCCATTTTCTTGGAAAGCCTTCACAATATTCAGTGAGTCACCTTCCAACTCTGTCATTCCCAATCCTAACTCTCGGGCAAACTCCACCGCCCTTGCGGCTGCACAAGCTCCACACAATCTGCCTCCACGCATTGTTGGAGCCTCTCTAATAATGCACGAATCACTTGCCAATTTTGATCTCAAACAATCACCCCAACCCCAATAGCTTTTTCTCGCCCAAAAACAACACCATCAAAGTTGAGCTTGAAGACACCCACACCCGGAGGTTTCCATTGTCAGTGATTCATGAGGGGGCACCATTAATCCTTTACGATATCAATTACAAAACTTACCCAAATCTAATTTTTATTTGGCGATAGAATGACCAAAGATTTACGTGATGTCAAAATTATGTGCCTTAGATATGTTTTAATTAACCGGTGTTTTTTTTATTTGCTATTTTAATTACTAAATATAATGATAATCACAATTTAAAATGTAATAAAATGCATACAAAAAAAGAAAGGAAAAAAAAGAATAAGATAGATGTGGAGGAAAACAAGAGACAAATGAGAGAGATAGAAATAATTATAAGAAAATATTTTGATAAAATTAAACATTAATTATTAGGAATTTATTAAAAAGAAAGAGAGAAGAAAGATGAGATACAAACATTTTAAAACATATTTAAAAATTTAAAGGGAGTTAAATAAAAAAAAAATCTAATTAGAGATAAAAGTGTAATTTTTAAAAAAATGAGGGGCACGTGCCCCCTGAACCCTATGTAGCTTCGTCCATGGCCATCGTAGTGGAATGTGACCTAGACGAGGGCCTTGCACCGCGCCTTTGCTTGCCCAAACTCCTGTAGTAAATCACAAGCTTGCCTCATAATCTTCTTAGTAATCCCAACATTTTTATTAAAGATGGCTTGACTTTGGGCTAACCATAGACCCCCCAACATAGACCAAAAAACAAACCCAACCCTGTGCTATCCATTCATGAATGTATTGCCTCAACCCTTTCTTAGAAATCAAGGCAACCCACCGAATCAATTACCCACCTTAGCAGACTCAATGCCAAAACTTGTTATGCCAAAACACAATCTCGCAAGCGATGTACCAATGTTTTGGGAGCTTCGTCACAAGTCTCATACACTTCCATAATTGGCACTCTCCTCTGTACTAATAACACCTGAGTCAGTAAAACATTCATTATTTTCAAATAATTAACTATTTCAATTCACTTTATAACTTAGAGGGTGTTTGATAACGGGCACTAGGGCCATAAATCTAAATTAAGATTTTTTTTGCTCAAAGGTCCACCCTCTGAAACATTACATCTATAAAGACAAGCTCCACGAAAATGACCAAACTACCTATATATATATATATATATATATTGTATCAAAACCAAACCAAACCCTAACCACTCCTCTCTCTCCCTATCGTCGTCGTCGTCGTCGTCTTCTCTCTCTCTCTCTCTCTTACTGCTCTCCTCTCTCTCTCTCTCTCTTTTCCTTTCTCCAAATCAACGTAGTAGTGTCGTAGGCAACAACATGTGGTAGATGTCACTGTCGGTGACGGAGGATCCAAAAGTCGGCAATGGAGGTGGATCTAGTTTTTGAAGATGGATTCACCGCAAAGGCTAACAAATCTGCCTCTAAGATTCTACCGCGTGTTTAGTTATGGCATCGCGCCTCCAATCTCTATCTGAACCGCCGCTATCCGCTAGAAACCTACCACTATTGTCGTCGTTCCTCCTCCGTCTCTCGATCCTTGTCTTGCCAAACAGAGGTTTCTCATATATATTCCACAACTGCACTAAAGTTGCTAGATTTGACTCAAACTCTCTCATTAAACACCATGTCCACACACAAATTCTCTGATCATTTGTTCATTTTCTCTCTCTAAAATATATATATTCATATATCTATGTGTATCGATTTGTATGGATCATGATCTTTGAGGGTTTGATCGATCCTTTTTGTGCTTTGTTTTATGTAGATCGATTGATCATCGAAGATGCTTGGGAGAGCACCGAAGAACACAAAGCACTATGAAATTCTTGGTTTTTCAATTTTTTTGGTGTTGTTTGGTTGCAGCAAAAACCTCGAAAGGGAGAAGAAAATGAGATTATGAATCTTTAATTTGTACAGATAAAATTCTAGTTGTTAATCTATTTATTATTTTCCTTTTTTCAATTTAGGTCAGGCTTTGGACAAAGATTATTTTTGTGTAGTTGTTTTTTATGATGGT